GGAAATGATGTTAAGGTACATAGTTAAATAAATGTGGTGCTGATTGAAGATAGGTTCTAGAGAACAGGACACTCTTAAGATAATAAAATTTGGTTAAAAAGAGGGAGTAGGCTGGGCACAGTGGCTCACGCCTGTAATCCCAGCACTTTGGGAGGCCAAGACGGGCGGATCACGGGGTCAGGAGATCGAGACCATACTGGTTAACACGGTGAAACCCCATCTCTACTAAAAATACAAAAAAATTAGCCAGGCGTGGTGGCGGGTGCCTGTAGTCCCAGCTACTTGGGAGCCTAAGGCAGGAGAATGGAGTGAACCTGGGAGGCGGAGCTTACAGTGAGCCGAGATTGTGCCACTGCACTCCAGCCTGGGCGACAGTGCGAGACTCCGTCTCAAAATAAATAAATAAAATGAAATAAAATAAATAAATAAATAAATAAATAAATGGTGAAAATAACAGGAGATCAGAGAAGTTATCTTAAGAATATAAGTCCCTGAGAAATTCCAAGAAAATTTGTGGAAGGTATTGGAAAACTTGTTAAAATGTGAAAAGGGTGGAGGAGAGAATGAAGGTTAAATGAGCTACATTTGTTTACCCTGAAGGAAAATATTTGTAAAGGTGTTCCTATGGGACCAGATAATTGTTCCAATAATTTTTACTGTTCTACCATTAAATAAAAATGATGAAAAATGCTGATGGTATAATCAGCAGAGACCAATGGAGGTGGTTTTTTCATCTTGCTACTGTATCAGTGAAGTGAGTTGATAGCTGAACCCTGAACCTAACATGCCATTTTAAATTTCTACAAGCAATTAAACTTGTGGATATGGGGAATGAATCAGAATGCATTCTTCATCCTTCCCATCAACATGGGGTATGACTTCACTGGAATAAATAAACTCATTATACTCATTCTTTTATAATAGGGAAATTAGAGTAGCATTTACAAATTATTATGGCTAAGAAGTAGACAGCAAATTTGTTTGAAATCGTGGAAGTTAGTGCTTAGTATTTGGACTATTTATACTGGAGTTATCAAATGTTACAAAGTAACATATGGAAAATAAATAATATGTTAGACATTGTGGCAATTTATAGTTTAATTGGACTTTACTTATGTCAGACATTTTCCCCTTTATCATAAAAACCCTTAGTGCCAAGTATATAGTTTGCCTTCAACTTCTCTTGAGTCTCCTGAAGGTGGACTTACAATCATGTCATAGGTCAAATTAAAACTGAGTATACAGAGTCTTACTTTTTCTTCAGCCTTAAAATCGATCCTAGCAGCTATCACATTACTATATGATTGAAAAACCTAAAGTGTCTGAGTTACGATTTAGTGAATTTAGTCATTGAATTTGAACTTGCTGCTTCAGAAGAGTAGATCTTCCAGAACCCTCTCTACCTCTCACCTCACAAGGCAGAAGAAGGCATGTATGCTGAGAATTGGATGCTTTTGAAAAGGAGGAAATGCCATATATGTTCAGCTGTTTTTTTTCCATCTCGCCAACCCTATAAATAAGTAGCTCCCTTTGAGAGGAATGAGTACAGGTATAAAGGGAATGACCAAGGCAGTAGCTCTAGGTTGGTTCTCCATACATCTGAAGATGCAGACATTCTTCTGTTATGGGAAACTAGTAGAGCCAGAGAAAATGGTTCCTCAGCAACCTCATCAAATGTATTCCTTTTTAGTTTACAATAAGGATTCCCTGTTCCTCTATGGCAGTCTTTTATTCCAACTTTCATACCATCTCATTGCTTCATACTTTGTCTTTAGTCAATCCAAACCATTCCATGCTTTATGGCACACTTCACCTTCAAGTGTCACCTCTCCCTTGTAGTCATTCATGCTTGTTCCAGCCATGGCTCATCTGTTTCCAAAAAATGTGATTTTTTTCTAGTATGATATCAAATTGTTTTATTACATTTAAGTTTTCCTCTGCAGCTACACTGTAGGCATGATTAGAGTGAGGTTTGCAAAGATTACCTCCTTCCTCATCTCTGGCAGTGAATAGCACAGTACAGACTAGATATTAGGCACCTGATATACATTGGTCAATTACTATTTGAGATCTTCAGAAAGCAAGTTCAGCATAGTATTTAAAGGCTAAGTCTTATTTAAGTCTTATTTCTTAAGTCGTACCTTGGATTAAAAACACATTTAAGGGGAAAAATTTCAAACCTACTAAATTAACACAGTATTTTTTCCTAACCCAAAACAGCACTCATACAAATGATTGAATACTGGTTTATTGTTGAATAGCATACATAAAGGTTTAACTCTAGGTCTCTCTCTCTCTTTTTTTTTTTTTAACAGAGTGTAAATTTTCCTATGAATCACTTTTGACCATTAGCATTTATAAACCACCATCATATCACTGCTTTTTTCAAATACAAGTTCATCATGGTGAAAACTTGAACATCTTTTAGTCTTAATTTATAATTTTGTGGAAGACACTATTAATTAGTCCACTTTTCCTATTTTGCTCCTATCAAGTGAACATCACTGGACATTATTTAAATTAACTGGAATAATTTGGCCAGATGTTGATGCATAATAGTTTTTGTGAGCCAGGAACTACCTGCAACATTATCCCCTAAGTTCAAAACTTTACTGATCTCTTCTGAGTTTTGGAAAATTCCATTGCCTTTAATTGCATTGCTTGTCATGGAAGAAACAAAAATCTACGTACACAATAACTTTTTACATTGATGCTAAAATATAGTGTCATCTTTATGAAGGCATATTAAGAGATAATAATCCAAATATAAATTAAGCTTCAACTTTGTGAAGTGTTACCTTTGTGAATAAATTAACTGCAGTGACATGCCACTAGACTGGAATATAGTAAGTAGATAATTCTCATTTACATATATGTCCATCTCTTTGACAAACTCATACTTGAATATAAGTTTCTGAAGGACGGGGACTTCTTTACCATTTTATCCCACAGTGCCTAGTAACAATGGCTGACATCTATGGTTATAGAGGTTGTATACTACAAAATGGGTGAAGACAAAGTATTAAAAGGGATAAAATGTAGTCTGTGTCTACTCTAAAGTCAAGCTCTAAAGAGGCTGTGTCTACCCAAATGAGATACTTCTAATAATCTACCAAAATATGTTGAGGAGAATTACATATGATTGTGCAACAGTAGTAACTGGCATATAATAGGAGCTCAGGCAACACTTATGATTGATAAATGAAGAAATTGCTTATATGAATGGCTAAGTTCACCCATGTGCAACAAATAGCACCTACATATGAAGAACCCCATGCATGATAGCTGTCATGTTCATTTGGCATTAAGTACCTTAATTTCAGGCATGTTTATATTGAAAAAAAATGCAACATAAAACAGTATCTTAGAATTGAAAAACAGTGATTCTGTCTTGCATAAAAATTTTTGTATTGTTTCCTCATTTATTTCCCCTGTTTATCTGATGCCAAAGGCAAAACCAAAACAAAAAGCATGAGAAGTGATTTTGAGTGCACCAGGACCTGATGGTGTGGCAGAAAGACAGCCACGGGACTACTTTGGTATATTATAAAGACAGAAAAGACATGTTGAGAGCGACTCTGTGAGACTAGCCTATACCTAGTTTCTTAATCTCATACTGTAATTTTTTTTAAGAAATTAGATATGGGCTCGCCTTACAGAGTTGCTCCTTGTGTGTTTATTAACTGATTATTTGTAGCTGGGCTTCCTCCACTTTCCTGTTATTGCTGTTTCTCAATGATTTTGTTTTGCTTTGGCTTTCTGTGATCAAAACATCAGCTCCACTCGCAAATAGCTTTTCAACTTGAGTGCCAATCACAGTCTCTTCTGTTAACCTTATTGAGAAAGGAGAAAGGGTCTATTGGGCTCTGGCTCAGCTCTCTGTGAATGTCCAACAGCTGACTAACTAGACAGGCAGGGAAGGAATCAGGCACAGACACAGTGGAATGCAGAGTGGCCACGTTGTCTGTCAGCCATGCTATGTACCAGGAAATGGGTTTTATGCAGAGCAGGTAGTAAACATTTGTACTAAGATCACTTTTTCCTTCAATACTCTATATATTTTTTCATGTTAAATGTGTTTGTTTTCATGTTGTATAAATCACCTCTTAGGAAATAGTGGTATTCTCTTAGGAGATTTTAGTATAGGGCATGTGGATAGAATTAAGGTCTGTGAACTTGGGTTGGAGGAAAACTACATCTTTATTTTTATTCACCTAAAACCAAAAGTAATCGTTTTTTCAATTAAAGATGTGAGCAACAAACTCCAGCAATAGAAATACCCATGACTTTGTCACTAATAGAAATGACAGACACTTTCATAACATGTTCCAGACATTGTATATACTTAAAAATACCAGTTATGTTCATCATCACTACATTGAAATTATCCTAAAGACCTGATGCTAGATCTTGTTAATTAACATATTAGGAAATAAAACATGTATTACTACATCACAAATATTTTAAAAATGTTTTGCATATTGTATTTCAGTATAATTGTTTGCATTTAAAATCCTGTGCATTTTGTTTTATGCTTTTAAAAGCATTATTTTGAAAAAGGGTTTTTAAGCTTCAACAGATGCCAAAGAGATCCATGGCACTAAAAGCCTAAAAAATCCCTGCTGCAGAAATACAGTAGCATCATACTGCAGAATTTTCTAAAGGCAGTTTCTTATTTGTGGATGGGTTTTCAAATGTCTGCCTTTAGCCACTACATGAACAAATTAAGTAAATATAAGTATATTTAGTTGAACAATATGTTTATTAAATATGTATGATGAAAAATAAGACATGAATTATGCTTAGGTACATATATATGTTCATAGTTACCCAATAATGAAGCTGCAATATATATGGTATGGTTTTCATGATTCAGTAATACATAGTTATAGGTTTAAAACCTTGCAAAATCATAGTAACCGTAGAGAAAGCCATTTCATAAGCATTAAATCTTAAAACTGCAATATATTACTTGAAGGTCAATGCTATCCTTTTCACAGGCTACTCAAAAAGAGATTGAGAAACAGAAGGTGCACCTGAAGAGTATCACAGAGGTAGGAGAGGCCTTGAAAACAGTTTTGGGCAAGAAGGAGACATTGGTGGAAGATAAACTCAGTCTTCTGAATAGTAACTGGATAGCTGTCACCTCAAGAGCAGAAGAGTGGTTAAATCTTTTGTTGGTAAGAGAAAAGGCTAGAAGCTTTTACACCCTTCTCTGTCACGAGAAAAAGATATATAAGTGACCAGTAATAATTTTGTGTTTGAAAATTTCTCAAGTCCACGTATATGCTGGCTCTTAATTCAATATCTATAACAAATATTTTAATATATTTTTATTTATATTTCAGCAATATTCTATATAAAAATACCACTTAAAACTAATCTGAATGAAACTGTATTGTTGTCTTTTAAAAATTTTAGAACATAGGAAAAATTCTTTAAGAATATTGTCTAACCTATAATGCCATGGTATATCTCTGTACAATTAAGGAATACCAGAAACACATGGAAACTTTTGACCAGAATGTGGACCACATCACAAAGTGGATCATTCAGGCTGACACACTTTTGGATGAATCAGAGAAAAAGAAATCCCAGCAAAAAGAAGACGTGCTTAAGGTAGCAAATAAAATATGAAAAGTAACGTTCAAATTGTACAATTACTTCAATCATGTTTGTCCTAAAAGATACTAAGGACGTCTTAATAAGAGTAAAACAATCCTTTCTTCCTTCTTTTATCTTTCCGTTTTTCCTTTCTTCCCCCTTTGAATGGAAATTAATGATTTTGAAGAGTTCTGTAATCTGGATATCTGTTCATATCTATCACTCAGTTAATTATACCCAATGTGAACTCTGTTCAGAAAGAGATTCCAAGATTTATTTTGAAATCATATTGCAAATTTCTGCCTATGTCAATGGTGGTACTACATTCTTGTGTCTAACACAAAGAACAATGTGACACCATCATTCATTCAGCCCATCTGAATCAACACCTGAAATCCAATCAGCTGTTTTGTTTGTTTGTTTGTTTGTTTGTTTGTTTTTGGCTGAGTCATATCCAAATCTTGGTAATTAGTCTTAATGTTGGGCTTATGTAAAACTGAAGTTTTCATTTTTAACTACATGTAAACAAGGCTTTGGGTTCTTTGTTTTAGTATCAAAACTGATTGTTAGGAAGCCCTGTCTTCTTTTTCAAGGGCAACTTAATCATCTTTTGTTTAAAAAATGATTCTGATATAAGGGTATGAGAGGTATAATATGTATATATACCTTATTGATGCTACATTGTTTCTATTTGATGATGTCTCCTTTCTCAGTTAAATAGGTAGAGTTGAATTTTAACAGCTCTCTTTTAAATACATTTTTGTATTTTGTTTTGCTGAAATGTTTGATAAATTTATTGATTAGTTGTTTACTGTTTAAAGAAAACTCAAAAAATATGTTTCTTTCTATGCAGTTCATTTTTATGCCTCTGATATTTTCATATTTTCCACAGATTACAATATATTTTAATGAAAAACTATAAATGCATTCCAGGTTATCCCCAAAACACATTTATGCTATTGTGTGAAGCTTATTTTGATGTGAATCTGTATTGTGCTCTTCATTGTCCCTTGATATATAGTCAGAGATGTCATCTTATGGTGAAATTCCTTCAAAGCTTTTTGAATAATAGGGTCTGAGTTATTTAACTTACAATGTCTGTGACCCGGCAGGTCAGGAAGAACATTCCTCAGTACCTCTGTATGTGACACAAAATTTGTATGTGTTAGAAAATCACTTTTTTTCTTATGACACTCAATGTAATAAACAAAGAGGAACTTGAAAGTACCAGGAAGGAATAGAAAAGTGTTCTTCAGCTACCTGCCCTCCTGAGCACATACTTAGTTTATTCCACAACTATTAAATTCAGTAACGATATAATAAAATAAGACTAAATAGAATACATTATGATAGTTGCAAAACATAAGAAAATATCCCTGTCCTTCCTCAGACTAAATAAACATTTTAAATAGACATGCATCAAACTTAAGGACAGTGATCTATTTTTCTGAAATCACATGTATTTTCATTTTACTCCTGTTTTATGGCAATCGTGGTTTTATCTCCCTTTCTATTTTCTGCATGTGCTTGCTCTCATTTTCTTACTTTCTCTCTCTCTCTTTCTCACTCTCTCTGGCTCACTCGCTCTGTTTCGCTCTCTATTTCTATCTTGACTTTCATTAATTACTAACTTCAAGTCCTATCTCTTGCTCACGGAATATAGCGTTTAAAGGCAGAACTGAATGACATACGCCCAAAGGTGGACTCTACACGTGACCAAGCAGCAAACTTGATGGCAAACCGCGGTGACCACTGCAGGAAATTAGTAGAGCCCCAAATCTCAGAGCTCAACCATCGATTTGCAGCCATTTCCCACAGAATTAAGACTGGAAAGGTAGGAAGATCTACTCCAAGGTGGAAACTAGTGCTAAATGATCTCTTGCGAAGGTTGTGCAGTACTCTCAAAGGGGCGAGTAGACCCCATAGCAAGGTTTTCAAAAGGAAAATGAAGGCCAAAATGTATTTAAGGAAATTTTGCCACTGACTATAATGGGAGATAAAACCGTCTCTCTCTCTCTCTCTCTGTCTCTCTGTCTGTCTCTCTCTCTTTCATGTTTTTCTGCCACAGAGATTCTAGAACTGCATTCTACACTGCAGTTTACATACGTACTTTCAGGGTCACCTACAGAAAAAAGCAACAAATAGCATGCTGAAGGCCAAAACAATAAATAAATAAAACCAAAAGCACACAAGTCATCCATCAAAAGAAAGCCCTACTGATAAATTTTTCCAAAAGCACTACTGATACAATATTGCTTGCATGTCATGTGGATCAAACATCCAAAATGAGGCCTTGTATATCTTCTGCATGATCTAGGGTGTTTGTACCTCTTTACTGATTGTGCAAGTGTGTATATTTAACTTGCCTTTGCTAGTTGCAGACACTGTGACAAAATTCATAAGGCTATAATGAAATGATCAAGCCATGAAAACAAATCACTGCAAAGCTTATATATCCTAATTTTTGTAATTTTATATGCCTATTTATATACTGTTTAAGAAGAACCAGGGAATATGGAACTTTTGCATGATAGACTTTATATTTGTATGATTTGATGAAGACAAAGTCTTATTTAGTAAGTAGTTTGCCAAAATGTATAAATATAGTGTTAAAGAATTTCAACTCTGGGAAGATTTGAAATGCAAGTAATTACCTAGAAATTTATGTACTGTAGTTTGATATATTTTTAATATATGTGATATGCTTTCAAATATAAAAAGTTATACAATCAATATATGTATTTAGGTGTATAGATAATTGTTAGAAATAATCTGAGATGAGAAAACATTGGAGTATTTATGAGAAAATATGATGTAATATGTCAGGTAAGTGTTGACTCCTGGAAAAATAGAAGAACATGTTCAAAAAATATTTTGATAGATATAAGCAACCAGTAATAGCATGGTTTCACAATTGCTACACTTTCTAAAGCATTACAGTGTATCATCATGTTATATAATAGTACATATTTAAAGCAGTTTTCAAAATAAATGAAATGTGATATGATAAATTCTAAGTAGTTTAGTTTATGTGCATGAGACACAGTTACCCTTCAAAATTCGCCTTCCCAAACTAAAAAGTTGTTAGTTTACCTTAATTCATTGCAAATTATTTTTGATAGTTAACTACTTAGTTCTCTTGCACTCTCTCTCTCTCTCCATACGCAGAGACCTTATATAGTTGACTTTTAAAAGGCTATATTCTCTGCATATGGAGATAGACAGCACAAGAGAACTAAGTAGTTAACTGTCACAAATATATATATTTGAGTCAGTCATTATCACTTGCAAAAAAATGTGACAGGCTCTTAAAATTTATCAGAGTATAGTTTTGAAAGAATTTACTGTTACAAAGACAATTGTTTTTTATTTCTGAAGATATCAGTGGCTTATGTAATAACTAAATGATCAATTGAGCTTTATTTCAATCATTAAAAAATGATACTACTTCATTACTAAGATGTAGACACACACATGCACATTTTAATAAATCACTAAGCTATAGAATATTTAAGAGAAAACAAGGTATTATCTTTGGATAAATTGTGTTACAAGATTGTGATTCACAGATATTAAAAAATGGGTAGCATTTGCTCTCCACCACAGACGTGACAGACCCAGCCAATACAAGTTTGTGACCAAGACAAGTTTGTGAGTTTTCATTTCACATTCTGCATGAATTTGTAAGTATACTTCTGGAAATCATGCATAAAGTGAGCCACTCGATATACTTATTTCATTTTCCCTACTAGCACAAGGCATAAGAAATTTCAAATGAATATCCATTATTATTATTATTATTATTATTATTGTTATTATTTGAGGTGGAGACTCTCTCTGTTGCCCAGGCTGGAGTGCAGTGGCATAACCTCAGCTCACTGCAACCTCCGCCTTCTGGGATCAAATGATTCTCCTGCCTCAGCCTCCCAAGTAGCTGGGATTACAGGCAGGCGCCACGACACCCAGGTAATTTTTGTAGTTTTAGTAGAGACGGGGTTTCACCATGTTGGCCAGGCTGATCTCAAACTCCTGACCTCAAGTGATCCACCCGCCTCAGCCTCCCAAAGTGCTGGGATTACAAGCATGAACCACTGTGCCCGGCCCAATATTTTCAATTATGTATTAATTAACAAAATAATCACATGTGTACTTTTTGAAGTATTCTTTTTTGTCTAAATTAAAGGCAACTGAGTGTAATACTGACCCCATTTTAGGGTTCTGAAGAGATAATTATGCTCTATTATCATGATGAAATGAAAAACACAGGAATAAAGCATATCTGACACTTTGCTTAAATATTCATTGCATCAGCTAATGGAATTGAGCTTCCATTGCGCTAGAGATTGTGGTGAGAAGATACAAGGGTGTAAAGATCCTTGCTTAAGAAATATATGTTTACAAACAGAAATGAATACTTAGTATAATCATAAAATATCTTTAATTCATCTTCATGAGGATGTTCAAATAATGGTGAGATAATCTCAGCAGAGAGAACAATAGATTTAGAAGGTAATCTCAGCAGAGAAAACAATGGATATAGAAGATTGCATTTTAGGCCTAACTTTTTCAGTAGTAGCCAGAACATATGATTTCTCTGCATATCCATTTCATTGTTTGTAAGATGAGGAAGTTAAAATAGATTAACAATTTTTAAAAGAAAAACTATCCTGCCCAAAATATTATTAGTTAAAATAAAATATTAAATTTAAATAATATTTAATATTAAAATAATATTCAAAATAAAATTAATAAATTGGAAAATAATAGTTACTAGATGGGAGGAATATCTGCCATTTTCTCTTTCTCCTTCCTATGACTGAATTCAGGAAGTGTGAGTTATGCTCATAGAACGTGGTTTTAAATTTCTAGATTAGATTAGTTCATAAATCCCTGCTTGTTCTAAAATTTGACTATTCAGTAATCTTTTGTTGATAAGGCATTTAAAACATTTAATGTCTTGTGTGTATTTGCTTTTAGAATAGGGAAGTGCTGGAAGTGCTGGAAGTTTTAGGGGGTAGCCTTTGATCTCAAAATCAAGCTTCTTTATAGTAGGGGTTATACAGATAATATTAGGTTAGAATATGACCTTTTTTTTTTTTTTTTTTTGAGACGGAGTCTCGCTCTGTCACCCAGGCTGGAGTGCAGTGGCGTGATCTCAGCTCACTGCAACCTCCGCCTCCCGGGTTCAAGCGATTCTCCTGCCTCAGCCTCCCAAGTAGCTGGGATTACAGGCTACAGGCTCCCGCCACCTCGCCCGGCTAGTTTTTTGTATTTTTTAGTAGAGACGGGGTTTCACCGTGTTAGCCAGGATGGTCTCGATTTCTTGACCTCGTGATCCGTCCGTCTTGGCCTCCCAAAGTGCTGGGATTACAGGCTTGAGCCACCGCACCCGGCCAGAATGTGACTTTTTTATGGTTGAGTCTATGTCTGAGTTTCATGGAAGAGTAACCTGGAAGAAAAAACTATGGCAATAAAAATTATAATAAAGTAGACTGGGATTGAACACGAGTAGATCATAGACTCATTGTAATGACTAATTTCAGTATAACCTTTAGAATGTAACTATAAAGGGCCCTTGAATAGAGAAATAACTTACCCTGAAAATTCACTGACATTAGATTTACCATTTGGTGAAGAATACAAAGTGGGATACTCCCATGTCTCCTGCAAGGACTGTTCATGACAAGGAATTCCAAAGCTCAGAAAGCAATGAGTAAAGGGATCCTCAGTTCAGATTGGCTGAGGACTTGATTGTCCAAGTGCAACTCTCTGTAATGTTAATTTTGGCCCTCAATGAGGAGCAGTATGGTACCAGCAAAAAGTACTTAACTTGAAGCCACAAGACCTGCTTTGAGTACTAGCTGAGCACATTACTGCTTGGTGATTTTGAATATGCCCCTTTACCTCTCAGAGCCTCATTTCTAGCTACAAAATTAGGGAGATGATGCCTGTTTTATTTTAATCTAAAGATTATAATGAGGATCAAATGATGTAATATATGTAAAAACATATATTTAAAATCTATTAATCAGTGTATAGATATGAAATGGTTAAAAATAACTAATATCAATAGTTATTTCCATCGTTATGTATATTAGACTTGAATGACCAAATTTGGAGGATTGAGACAAAAACTGATGGAAAAAAACAAAAGAACAGCTGATTTTCTATGGTCTCTGCTGTAATTGACTGGAGTCAGAAAATCATGTCTTTGCTATTTTCATGGCAAGGACCGGCCTTAAAAAGAATCAGGTGGATGAATTTAAGATGTACTAGGGAGTTCTATTTGTCCCAAATACGCCCCTTAAAATACATAAAGATGCTGCCTATTCCCATTTTATCGAGGTTACCTAAGAGTATCTGATGACTTTGAAAAAAGCGTATTTTTTCCTCATCTATGTGAAATCAACATGAGGAAATGGCAGTTTTATTGGGGAGGATCAGAATTATAATAGTGAATCAGAGATAATATTACAACCCTGAGTAAAATTGATAAAATCAATGAGGAGAGACTCCTTGTCTCAACTGTCTCTGTTTTAGGGCATCTGAGCACAGTGGCATGGCTGAGGGCAAGGGGATACCATCAGGAAAATAAGGTGATAGGAGACAGAAGTATAGGAAGGGGCATGGGAAGACAAAAATAAACTGATTAGTTTTTCATATTGATTATGACAATTGTACCCCTCTCCATCCCTCTAGAAGTCAAGTTGGAGAAAGGGAGTCAGCAATTTGGGAGTGAGGCTAGTTGAGCTATATCTAAAAGCACTAATGAGAGAAGACCTGAGAAAAGGGATTAATCAGAATGAATTCTCACTAACCATATATTATTTTCTG